AGGGAAGTCTAGAAATTCAGATTAATTGTGCTCTCATTGTTAAACTATGAAAGTCAAATCAATTAATAAATAAGAAAAGTTTTGATGGCCAGATTACTGCAATGTATGGTTGTTGGGGAGACTGTTAAGAGTTTTAGTTTACTTAATTTTACTGACAAAAAACTGAAAAGGATAAATATAGTCCAATCAGTGTTATTGGAACCTCCTTTCTCATTACAGCTATTTAGGTAGTTGAATGTAAGAGAAAGGTATGGATATTTCTGAACCTCCTGAACTGTATACTGATTGGGGGTTTTTCTGGTGCCCTGATCAGTACATACACCTCTTTCATCATGCACATCAAGGTTCAATGAACAGCAGAGTGTTACTACACTGCTGTTTATATTTGAGTTACACAAGTTAATTCTAGATAATCAAGCCAAAAGCAGTGTTTTTTAATCTTCCCGTCAACATTTGTCACCTTTGTATTCGCCCTTTGTCAGCTTTGTTGTCTAGACAGCTGTATTTAATAATGATCACAACCTCAAAACTATGTACACCAATGCTTGGGGGTGCAATTAGATGTTCTGTCCACTTTGCATTGTAATGCTGGAGAAAATAACAATTGTTTTATACTGTGCTTGGTATAATTAACGTAATTCATTTCTGCACTAATATGTAAAACAGACTAGTCTTGGTGTTTTTGTTTTTTTGCGCTGGAAACATGGAATCTGACTGCAGAAAGAAACCTTTAACCACTTTGAATTTTGTTTAGAAAGTTGTACATACTACATTATCACCCTTAGGGTACCTGAATAAAGGGCCAGGAATTTTACATTTAAAATGGCATTTATAGTTTATTTAGGTTAGGAAAGCTAGCAAGTTTATAGTGAGGAAGGACAAGAGGAATCAAAAAGGCCTCCACTAAAATGTTGCATAGTACACATCTGCCTTCTTGTGTGATAGCACTGGAGCATATACATTAAAAACCAAGTCAGAATTGGTAATAATTAATGAAGTGCCTAGAGGTTCCTGTACATACCCTTAAACATGTTCTTAATGCCTCAGGAACCCTAAAACCCAGGGAGCTCAATTATGCAAATATCAGCTTCAGAAAGCTGAGCTCTGGCACATCCTCCTACCTTCCCCACCTTATTATAGAGGCCGCTTATTGCATTTGGGGTGTGTTGGATGAAGTAAGTGGGTGGGGCAACTTTTGCTGCTTTTGACAATAGCATAGAACATTATTGAGAACATTGATAATTCATTGACAGGTGTATTTGACCTGCAGTTGACCTATTTCAGACCAGCATTTTACCTGCTTTAAGCTGCATTTTGCGTTCCCATAGGCTTGTATGGGATGAGAAGCAGTTCTAATGCAAACAGGGGCCCATTGACATAGTTATATTAGATAGATAGATGGTCAGATAGATAGTGTGTGCTGCCCCATACATGAGATTGTGATTCAATCTGGCCAGATTTGTTTGGGTGATGATTATCTAATGTCTCCACCCAGCTTTAGGTGTTACATGGGTTTAAAGGCCTGTTCATACTATTGCGTTGACCTGCGTCTTTCTGCACTGCTAGCAAAACAGGAAAACACCTGCACTTCATAAAGCTATAGACCTTAATGAAGAATTGGTGCTCGAAGTGACAACACGGATGGCGCCGTGTCAAATACAGTCCACAATAGAATTCACCAGCACTGCACTGCTAGGGCACATAGAAAACAATTGGTATTCATGTGCCCAATTCACACCATAATGTGTGCAAAAATGTTTGCATATGTGAGTGAATGCCACTGCAGGTCACTACTGTGTGGGGATCTGAATAGAGTGTACACATTGTACACTACCGATAACGTTTAAAAAAAAAAAGAAAAAATGTAAACAGTGACAGCTCCAGGAATGTGTGATACTCAACACACCGTCGGAGCTGCCAAAACACACTAGCCCACCCATTAAAATGGAGCGTTTTAGCGGACAAGCTAGTGTGAATGGATCTAATGGTTACTTGGTAGCAGTAGATCAAACAATGATTAAGCAATTTACTTAAAGCACCATGTCTATATTATAATGATTACACATTGCACAGCTCTTTGCACTATACTTAAAAAAGGGTGTATGTTTCATGCAAAGTAAATTATAATTTCTTAGTGTTTTAACACTGCAAATGTGACAACGCAAATTTAACTTTGACGTCTGCCCAATGCAGCCAGGTATAATATTATTGATTTCCTTGTCTATAGATACAACAAGTAGGAAAATCGATTAAAATGAGAAAACCCCATCAAGCAGTAACGGACACCAGACCCTTTAACACCCGCAAATGATCAAGCTACGGTATAACACCATCAGTATACCCAAGATGCAATGAATAGATAAAAAACATTTTCACTAAGCTTGTAATTTCTTTATTATACAATATTATTTATAATCTATCCTGACAATGTCATACAGTACTTTCCTTCGGTATTTTACTGTTTCCAGATTGCACACAGTTTATGAACAAATATACAATTCTACAAGGAAATGAATATCACATAACGGAAATGGTTTACTAGAGAGAAATATTTGTACATTTTACACTTAAAATGTGATTCCAGCTCTAGGTGTCAGATTTAGAATAACAAGCTGCTGGCACAGCAAATAAAGATTGTAATCAACAAGAAAGCAAAAGTCACGGCACAACATTTTTCAAAACGCTATCAATTTTATAACTCACACTATGTACAGTAAGCTTTCAGATGTACTTTCTCCAGAAATAAACAGAGCCATAGCCATACATGCTTGAAAGAATAAACTGTTATGAACGAACAGGATTGTGTAAATACGTGCAAGTTATTTAGGTATATGGCTCCAGGATCTGAGGCCGTTCATCACTCCTCAACAAGAACTAGAATTGATCATATGACCAGCTGGCTATGCACATCCTTGTTATCTGAGATTTCATTTTGCCCAGTAGCAGATACAAAAGAGGTTTTAGGTCGAATAAATGCCTCCAGTTTCTTAACATAGACCTCCCTTTTTCCAGTTAAAATGTGCCATACATTAAATTGCACAAATACAAGTGAACAAAACAGTTTTTGTATTGGTATGGAAAAAACTTGCCTAATTATAGGCATTCCCTATATATTCCTGAATATTAAAGTAATTCTTGATACTTTTATATTTAATTCTTAATTATTTCTGTGTGCTAGCAAGCAGTGCGTGTCTCCATAAACACAAAGACACAGCAAGGCAATCCAGTCATCTATTCTCTGCTTCCCACTCCTCCCTCCTCCTTCCTTTCTCTGCCCTTCTCTAAACTAGCAGATGGACAGCTGCTGAAGATTATGCTGTCCCTTGTGATCTTGTACTGGACAGAAAGTTCAGGGAAGCAGAGCTGAGAGAGTCGGGGCCAGCTGTTTGGAAACATCATGACTAAGTGCTTGGGCAAACATTTAAAGAAATACTTTTCTTGGCAATGTATATTTGTTTGATTTGGATTCATTATTGGAAAAAAATACTAAAGCACACCGTAATACATGTAAAACTAGAAAATGTAATCAGAAGTTGCACTAGTTCACGCTCGAGTAATAGCAATTATGTGTAGAAATCAGAAGTGCTTGTGATCACTGGCTAACATGTTTTAACCTCCTGCCGTCCGCCCGTTGAGAAAAAACGGACGGACGGCAGACACACACGGGCGGGTTGCTGTCATAGGACAAACCTGTCCGTTCTTTACAGCCGTTACCGGCTGTTTCACATACAACCGATCAGCGGCTATATAGCCTGCCGATCGGTTGTATGGTGTGATTTGTTCCCCCCCCCCCTCATGTGCCGCCGCTGCCGGCACCCCTCCTGACCCCCTCACCTTCAATCCTGGGATCCGCTAGCCCATCTGCGGCCCGGGACCGGCTCGGGAGGGTGTCAGGAGGTAAGATGGGAGGGAGCTCAGCATCTTCCTTCTTGCTGACCTCCCTACGAGGTCTGAATGCAGAAGTGATGTGTATTACATCCCTTCTGCATTCACCTGTTAGTCATCTGGCTGCTATATCCAGAGAAAAGGAGCTGATGAAGCAGATCTCTACTTCATTAGCTTCTTTTGGGGGTCCCCAGGTGACTTTAGGGGTTTTAGACACCCCTAATGTCTCCATAAAGAGGACCTGTCAGTGTGCCTTTGCTATTATATAGGGGGGTTGTTATCCCCCTGTGTAATAGCAATAACATCAAAGTGTAAAAAAAAATAAAAGTCACATATAAAAAAAGTAATAACATTTTTTTTTAAGTCCCCCACTCCCACGTTTACGCACATATAAACATAAATATGCGTCAGATGCGCCAGCGTGCGAAAACGACAATTGCGCTACACATGTTATATATCTCCGTGAACGTCGCAAGGAGAGCAATAATTTTAGGGCCATCAATCACTGTTAACACTAAACTGACAAGCGGTAAAAGCTTTTAAAGCGTCGCCTATGGTCAATTTTGGGTATTGTCGTTATTTGAGGTTTCGCACGTGCACGCAATTTTAAGGCTTGACATGTTTGGTGTCTTTTTACCTGACGTGATGCCGCCTTTTATATTTTACCAAAAATTGGGTAATAATAAATGTTTTATAATTTAATATAGGGGAAACTGTTTTTTTGTTAAAATTTTCTGTAATCTTTCCTTAATATATAAAAAAATAGGAAACCCCAGTGGTGATTAAATACCACCAAAAGAAAGCTCTATCTGCCCCACAAAAAAAATGGTATAAAATTAATTTCAGTACAGCGTTGCATGACGGAATAAACGTCAGTCAAAGTACTGCAGCGCTGAATACTGAAAAATGGCCTGGACAGGAAGGGGGTTTAACACCGCGGACTTCAAGTGGTTAACATGCTGACTAATCCCTATGTTTTATCAGAAAATATTCCCTTATTTCTATTTTGTACAGCCTTATGTCAACTGCGCCAGGGGATAAACTTTCTGGTAAAATGACCAGTTTGTAAAATTTCTAGGAGCAGAACAATTGAAAAGAAAGGAAAAGGCACTAACCTGCTGCATTGCTGGTGAATGCAAAGCTGTCTGACTCTGCATCTGTAGCTGGTTTCCAATTGACTGCTGCATTGACATTGACTGGTGTTGCTGCATGTGCATATGCTGGTGGAGAGGTGGACTCATCTGCAGAGATGGAGGAGGAGAAACAGCCATGCTTGCTAGAGAAACAGTCACTGGCATTTGGTTGCTGGGTTTGGGAGCTATGTTCCTGTTGAGTCCAGGATGCATGGTGGATAAATGTGGGTTCATTGTTGACTGTTGGTGATAAGGTGAACTGAGATACAGTGTGGAGTGTGCCTGTGTGGGTCCATGGAACACTGGAGGCTTTGAATTCATCATTTGAGATGGCTGTGGTGTCTTGTTATCAATAGGGTCACTGTAGCTCTATTGGAAAAAAGTATACATTGTTAAAATTGCTTAATAAGTTAAATTATTTACAAACAAAGTAGAAGGCCAATGAAATAACAGCTAACATATTTCTTGTAAAAGTTTAAAAAATAATGTAATACTTTGATTACATGCTCTGAGCCACAGTTCTTATTACCTTTCCTCTTTGTACATAAAATACTTGCAGTACACTATAAAGAAGTAATCATTTTCACATCTTGCTGGCCGGGGAATAAGAACATTCTCTTTGTGGCCAAAGACTGTATTTTTATGGTTTACAGTATTTCTTAAAAAGCTTGCAGTGATATTTTATTTTTGCTACATGTCATGTTGTATTTAAATTGAAGAGATGGTGATCATAAAAGAAACTGTTACTTGGAGCTATTTGCTTTAGAATAGAAAAACAGGGCAATTATAAAAACAGATGATATCAGCATTTACTGTTCTTGGCCTTGTAATATCTAAGTAATATTTGGACTGGAAAAAATGTACATTTTGGTCACACCGGTAACATGGAAACTGGACAGAGAGTTGTTGGGGAAATTGAGTCTTTTTAATACCACCTACTTGGAAGGTGATATTATAAAGACGTTAACTTATAAAAGTCCATAACTTAAAACTTGGGTTTGTCAAATATAATAGCAGCAATTACAGGTGAAACTCGAATAATTAGAATATTGTGCAACGTTCATTTATTTCACTAATGCAACTTAAAAGGTGAAACTAATATATGAGATAGCATTACATGCAAAGCAAGATAATTCAAGCCGTGATTTGTCATAATTGTGAAGATTATGGCTTACAGCTCATGAAAACCCCAAGAACCCCAAATCCACAACCTCAAAAAAGTAGAATATTACATGCAATCAATAAAACAAGGATTGTACATAGAACAATATCGGACCTCTGAAAAGTACAAGCATGCATATGTACTCAGTACTTGGTTTGGGCCCCTTTTGCAGCACTTACTGCAATTACTTTTGCACGATATTCTTATTATTCGAGTTTCACCTGTAATGTTGTATACTATAACATTATGCTATGAAATGGAGTAAAATGGGAAAAACATATCAAAGTAGTACCAGAAAGGTAAAATGGTGATCAGGGACATTTGTGCAATCATCAACAAAGAATAGTAAAGTTGACATATGACTGTTCCTCTACACTTTCATACTTATTTAATTCTATGCTTTGTAATTATAAATAATTTATTTACGTTTTTACTTAGTATTAATAGGCGAAGGTCCTCATAGTAAGTACAGTATCCTAATCCATAGTTCATCAGTTCTAACTGCATCTTCCTACTTGCACATTACACTTTCCTTCTTTGCTCTTCTAGTGATGACTGCTCCTCCTTGACACAACCACTTAAGCCTAACTATTGAAAGACCTTCTGGATAAAGTGGGAATGTTTATATCCTCTGTCAACCTATAATTTCTCCCCATTACTCTTTATAAAGAATTACCCCACTTCCTGTTCCAGTAGCCGTACATGACATAAGGGGAAATCAACTTATCTGGAACACAAGAACCAAAAAAACAAAAAATTATTCTAGCCCATCTCTAATCAACTAAAGGCAAAAACTTTAATTGCTGCCTGAATCCTCTTCCTCTCCTTACTTCCACTTGCAGTGGATCCTAGGCTTAAGTGGTACTAAAAGCCTAGACAGCCTAATACGAGATTAAGACTTCTCCCGACCCTGTCCTTAAACTGTCAAAAGCCAGAACTTCATTTGTCAGCAAAAGCTTTGACACTTAAAGGAGAACTTTGAAAATCACTCAGCCTCATAGTTCGAGCCGACGTGTGACAATGAAACTGTCACACGTCAGCTCAATAGATCAGGAAGTGAGCTAACACATACCATCACTCGCTCACTTCTCGATCTCGACGGTCACTCACGGCTCCCTGCAGGGATTCCCCCTCCCCGCTCCGATCCTCCAGTGCTGACTGGAGGAACGGCCGGTGGAGTGCACAGCTGGCTCTGCCTCTAGATAGGCAGAGCCAGCTGTCACTCACGCAGCTGGGTGGATCTCGACAGTAATGTCAGGATCCGTCCTGGCTGTGGCAGTCTCAGTATACTGCGAGCTGCAGCTCGCGATATACTGAGCTTTGGGTCACGGGAGGACGCTAGTATATGTCTTCCCGTGAACCTTAAGAGAACTATGGGGAAAAACACTTACCCCATAGCTCTCTTTTAACAATTCAATGACAGAAGGTATGGTTAAGGATCGGCAGGATTTAATCAGACCAAAAATCTCATTGATAAAGCAATGGTCAGTTCTCATCAGTCAGTTATACTTTCAGTATTACTTTTCTCCACAGCTTTATATTGGATTTTTCTTGTTAGTGGTCTCAAGTGTATTTTATAATCTGAAAGGTATAAATGCCTCTGACAAGAATCAAAATGCTGATTAAATGTCCTAAATATAAACTAAGCTAAACCTCTATGTGTGCAGTTTGCCACAATGCATTTATATGGATTGATGTCTAGTATGACCACCGAAGTCATGGTGTTTACGTAATGTAAACTGCTAGTTCTGGTTAGTGAAAAGATCATTAGTGTGATAAATTGCATGTTCAGTGGCCGGAATTTGGATTGATCTTCATCTAACCCCTCAAGGGGCTGGCAGCACATTACAAATTCAATTAATGAATGTGTTGGACTAGGTCAATTTATGGGGGGAATATACATTATTTCTCCAGAGTCATTTTTCACCAAAGAATGTACTTTATACTTTTCCACAATGTAAACACACACTGAATACAACAACATGCATTCATCAAATAATTTAAACATGAAATACTGTCTTTAATTAAAATAACACTTAACCTCCCAGTAATAACACATTTGAATCCCTATGGCCAGCTGTTCATATTTCTTATTCTCTTGCAGTAGTCTTCCCCTAATGTAATGGCGCTGGTTTACTGAAAATAGTACCAACCTTTTAGCATCCATTTGTAATTATTCTAGGAAATTAGAATGCCTAGATGCGTGCCCCAGGTACTGGCCAAGGTACATGCATATTACATACCTCACCAGGAGCACAATACAGCAGCCAAAGTTGGGCATGAGTGTCTATAGATCGTGGCCAGTAATGTGTGCATCTAGAGATCCAAACAGGTGTCAAAGGATATATAGGGTGTCTATTCTGATTTGGGATCTTCAGAAATTCTTCATAAGCTTTTAGTCTCCTGTCAATTGAGTGACTTGGTAACAACACAAAGTGCATTCTAAATGCGGGTATTGTATTTACTAAAAGCATATGTGGTTATAAAATAAACAATTTTCAAATTATGCAGAATGAAAGAAACAAAGGAACATAATAATTAGTGTTTTTGTTATTTATTACTTTACTTACACAATGTAATTTGTTTGCTTATGAAATAAAATAAATCTGATCAAAAGAGAGTGTGCAAAATTTGGCCACAGAAATACAGCTGCATTTAAAAAAAAAAAAGTTATTAGTACTGAAATGCAGTTGATATTGCAGACAGGTCTTTTTAATCTTGAACTAACCAAAGGGTGACTTGTAGATCAGGTAGCTGCATTTTTTTTGGAAAAGGGATTGACCTCCAGTTGATCTTTATTATTTTCTGTGCCTCAGCAGGAAGGACTCCACCAGCCCTAGTTTAACAGTGACAGTTTTGTCTCAACTGTAGCTCAATTCCTGATTTCTGTGACCAAGTGCTTAGCAAAACATACCGGTAGCTTAACTGGCGCCTGACCAAACTGGCCTTAGAGTGGACATTTGTGTGGTCTCTGTTATCGGTCAGCACTATTTAAATACAAAACATAAATAAATACATTTCCACTTCAGGAGAAAAGTTCCTGTATATTCCTGTGAAAACTCCACTAGAGGATTGTAAAGACATGGTCATCACCATGGACTAATAATGAAAATGCTGAAACTTTGTTCATCTCTGTGTCACAATTTCCCTAGCAGGCTAATCTTAGAAACATAAGGAGAATGTACTACATATACATCAGGAGTACCAGGAGGTTTAGAAGTGATTACCACCAGGCTGGGTGCACAAGAGATCACAGACAACCCTAAAGATCAGGGAGAGACCTAATCCCTGCCCAACTCCATCTAAAATATTAGGAACATTTTGAGAGGAGGACCCAATTTAAACTGTAAGTTAAACAGGACCTTTACCTATATCTTAAAAATAAAAACAAACACACCTTTAGAAATGTTTAGTAATGACTGTCTAAAAACACAATGATAATTGCATACTTTGTATTATTTGCATACCTTATTTCTCTTTTCTTGCCCAGTCTTCTGACAGTGGCCATGTTTACTAAGGGCAGATTACTAGCACTTCTTTTACTTCCTGGATTTCTGGCACATGTGACTAGACATGTGACTAGGACATGTGACCAGGACATGTGACCATGCACATCATCTCAGGGGAGGAAAATGCCTTTCCCTGAGATCTCCTGAGATTACAGATGAGATTTCCCAGCAGTGCTCTGCTCATAACAAGGCAATCCCAGTGTGCATTGCTCTGGCAAACTGAAGTCATTTTGCCTTTTCAAAGCAGGAAGTGAATGCTCTGCAAGTGTAAGTATTTAAAAATCACAGCATTTTACACCAGACATGTCTATGTTACTATTATACATCATACATAGAGGGATGCATTGGTAGAATTAGATTTTTGAGTATAAAGGTTCGCTTTAGGTCTACAATATACTTCCATCACTGCTTATGCTGCATTTGCATGTCATACTTTGTCTACATTGCAGAATCTTTTGACATGCAAACAGAAAAGGCAACATTGTGAAGAGAAAACAAATGAATTCCAACAGCAAATGTGCACTAAGCTGCTAGGATACATAAAATGAATGCCATAATTATCATATGCCTAAACTAAATTATTACTTTCATGACAGGTACATCTAAGTTGTAACTTGTATTAAATCCCAAACAATATTAGTAGTGAAAAAAAGTAAATGAGTTTCCCATTTTTCTGTTATGGAATGTTACATAATACGAGTTTGGCAAGACATTTAAATAGTACTGGAAAAATGTATGGCATAAATATTTGACATTACCTTGGATACAAGACTTGCTCGATATGCAGCCAACTGCTTCAGATACTCTTTTTTGGCAGATTCAGTTTTCTTCTTATACACCTGCAAGTAACACACATTTAAAGCATTTAATTATACAAAGCTTTTCGAGAAATCTTAAAAAATCTATTGCCTCTTCACTGAGGCATCTTGATGAATAAACCACAAAAATCTTACAAAGTCTAATGCATGTCTCTTACACCTCTAAAAAGCAATATAACTTGGCTATGTTGAGGCATGACATTTGAGGCTTTTATATAACAAGCAGTTCAGCTTTACAAAAACAGAATTAAAGATTAGAAATGGATTCCTGGAATTTTATTGGTTCTTATGAGCAACACTGACATCTTTATTTCCACCAGTATCCTTTAGTCTGTTTCTAATATTTCTCTTTCTTTCTCCTTTGACTTAAAAATGACAGCTCCTTTGTGGAGCTATGGTTTAAAATCTATAATGTTTTTGAATAATCTGGTTTTGAAGTGCCTACATATACCATACCTTGTAATAATAAAGTAACCTTAAAGGCTCCCCCCCCATGATGCTTTAAGTACTTACCTTATGTGCTGCCACTTGATGCGATCATGTTCCTTTCACTTGTTTCCAATAGTCCCTCCAGCACTGGTGCCCCTTCTCTGATCCAGCGCAGACTCCTATCTTTTCCTGTGTCCCACAGAGTCTGCCCTGCGTCTAAGCTCCCGGCTGCCTGCATTCATTTACACTCCCCTCCCCTCCAGTGATATCGTGTGCGCATGCGCCCGCACACACTTCCTGCTGCACGTGTTCTGCAGCTGGGGGGCGAGCGGCGAAGACACAGGTAAGTTATTACTTAATTTTTTACCATTTTTTGTTTTTTTAAATGTTGGGGCATATATCTGCTGCTTGCTATATATATATTTATGTAAAAAAATAGATTTTAATACCAATTTAAGATTAATTCTAGGATTGTTCCTACAAATAACCTAACATTCTTTCTCTTATGCAAACAATGGCAGCATTTGGGGTTCCAACTGAAAGTGTAGCAGTGGCCAGACTTTGGACATTCAAATATTAACATATTATTAAAAAGCAGGAAATAAGCTTTAAAACAAGTCCTCACTAACTGCTGCAGCTGCAGGCACTGGAGAGCAATTCATTCTCAAAGTTCACAGCAGAAGCACAATCATTGTCTCTTCAGCTCAGCTCCAGAGAGCTTCTGCTCTGTGTTTACATTAGAGATTTGAAGGTTGGAAGGCTGCTTTGTTTAAAACAAAGCAAATTCTGACCCTTATAGCTGCAGGCACTATGGAGCAATTTTTCTTCAAGGTTCACAGCAGAAGCACTAAATTCAATCTTTCAGCAGCTCAGCTCCCACTGCTTCTGAAAACCAGCAGCTCATTTACTGCTTGTTAAGAATATATTAATACTAAAATATACATAGCCTGGCCCCAGTTTCACTTTAATGCTAAAAACTACTGCTCTAGATGACATCATGTGATGCCATGCCCCCCGCCTCCAAGACGGCGGCCCACATGCACAGAATGCGCTTCTGTTTTTTAAATGTGCGCTTTCGGATTTGGAAGTCTGTTGCCTCTGAATCCAAAACAGCATAATTATTTGTTTCATCAAACAAAACGAATAACAAGGTTTTTCCCTTTTCATTCGTTTTGTCGACAACAAAGTTTTATGCTGTGCACATTTCTACATATGAATATAAACTGACCCTTCAAAAATATAAATAAATGGAATGTCAAGCCATGAAAATAGAGTAGACATGTATTTTTTTACCAATGAAATAGCAAAGCATGTAATTATCTCTGCTAGTACAGGTTTTATTGCTGGATTATTGCATTAATGAATTTAGGTTTTGCAGTGCTGTAAACCATAAGCCCACAAGTTTTGTAGTTTGGTGTAACAACTGAGACAAACCTCCAGATGCCAGGCATTCCAATTGTACATTGGGGCAAACTATTTTTAAAGCCCAAAACGTTGGCCATTTATAGAGTGATTAAGCAACATGATTAGTGAATGTGTGAGCGCCAATAACGTGTAAATGATTTGACTGACATAAAATGAACGGTATTTCTGTGGCTCCAAGAAAAAGACATCAGTTTGTGGGCTCTGAGGATTTGTCAGCTCATAAGTGTAATTCTGCCTCTTCATATCCCTGCTGCTTCTAATTTAGCAGGACAGGCTTATAATTGAAGCAAATTAACTATTTACTCTTGCTACTTCTACCAAGGGAGGGAAGGACATACCAGCAGGACAGAATGCGTGGGAAATTAAATCCTTCTCACTTGTGTCAAAATTGCCCTTCTATAACACATTAGCAGTAATTTCATGAGGCGTCAAACATTGGAATAAATACTGAAGAATAAAATAATGAGGTGTTGCTGTTGAGTCAAACAGCTCAAGCTAATTTTATGGCATATGGATCATAAAGACTAAGGCATATGTTACAATACTCTAACAGTGTGCTTACATGTGTTACCTGATCATTACACTCCTGCTAGGATCCCCGAGTCTATATCTTTTAAATGCAAGATTATAGGTTTTAACATCATTAGATAATGATCCATAGATGGGCTTATTTAATACCACAGCACAGAGAGAAGTCATAATCTGCAAAATTCAATAACCAATACCCACCAACCAGATTTCCCCTTTTTTCAGACAGTTAATCATGATTGTATGCTTTTGGTTTCTATTGGCTACTATGTTTGATACACTGCTCTATGCTTTATGAAATAAACACAATAATGTTTTTTAAATAAAATTCTTATGCAATTACCATCCTCGCTGATTCACTACTGTAGGGAAAATCATTTGAAGAGTGCAGTACATGAGGTTTTGTTTAACCTGAACTGGAAAGATTTTTGCCCAGGGAAACCCTCACAGCTTTTGATGAAAATGTATTGTGTGAATCATTCATAGACTTTTATTTCAGTAGGTAAAGCAGTCAGCCACAGTCACAAATTGCAGAAATAATGGCTGACATATATATCAAGACAATTACATAAATTATTTTTTTTATAATGACATATAATCAGTATTACTGGAGTTGACTACACATACACACAGAAATTCCTTTCAAATGCTATGTTTAACTCAAAATGCAGCATTACATTCACGCTCTTAGGACTAACACATGTATATTTGTCTCTTTGGCTAAAGCTTTCAAGTTGTTGATAGTCATGTAAACAAGGCTATTTTGTTTGCAATTTGCCAAATCTATTACAGCCATACTGTGCTTCCAATTAGAAAAGCCAAGAGTACATTTCCATCTGGTTTAAGTTCAACCTTGCTTTCATTTTTCAACTTAACAACCATTTAACAAAAGGAAAAAGGAAAATTACATTAGTGGTCCCTGTGAAATGTTAGACTGGTCTAAAAGCTGGAGACATGTTAAATCTCCCCAGATTATGCAACTAATTAATGAATATAGTATGTCTTGTATATAAGGAACTGCTCAGCAACTGCCTGGTAGTAAATAAACGGATGGCTACAGACTATGACTCTGTGCCCCAAATTATGACTACTGTACTGATCTTAACTATAACTTAAATTTCACCTAGACAGTTAAATGTAGATGGTAACCCTATAATGTGATTTGCAGTGTTGGTTAATTGTAAGCAAAATCAGCATTTCAGTAAATGCATTCAAAATAATGTTACTGTATTGTTTTGATGCTATTTTGTAAAATATCTATGTTCAGTATAGGAGTGATTATAAAAGAGCAAGCATTCAGCTACAGGACCTGATGTTCATCTTCCGATTATCTAAATGGTATCTTGAGGCGAAACTAACGAACTCCCTGGGCCCTTTAGATGTCCTATAGTATACGGTTCCCCCTGATTGATTGTTTGACTTGATCTGTTCATCCACACAACCCCCCTTTATCTCCCAGCAGGTATTGAACATATTATCCCCGCTCTTTCCCACAAATTCCTATATTGTGTTGAGGTTGTCCACCACCTAGATTTTGATTCACTTGGCTCCCTTATTAGGGAAGTAATATGGCTATGGTACGTTTTCAATGTTATGTTGTTATGCTTTATCCTGGATTCCAGTTAAAGTGCTCTGAGCTGTTATTGCTACAGGTGCAGTCTGCGCACTGGTGCCTGATTCATGTTATCTGCCGATGATTGCACTTATTTGTATTGTATTATTTGATACTTAATAAAAATTGACATGCTGAAAAAAAAAGAGCAAGCATTCCAATAACATCTCCACAGATACTCTGCAGGTTTTCAGTAGTACATGTAAATGAAACACAAAATGCATTCAAGGTCAAACCTTCAACGCAGGCAAGATTATGCTGCTGTATAAAAAAATAATTTTATTCAAATAACTTTTTCATTTCATTATTACATCTTTATTATGTGTCTTATGTTTCATATATGGAAGGGAACAGGTAAATTAATATTTAAATAAAAGAACTAAAACCACAGTTTACAGAAAGGGAAACATGATCTTTTGATAATTATACAAAGCGCCATTTATATGGAAAATGGCAAGTTCTATGACCACATTACAATTTCATAAATGCAATCCTTTCGGTTTCTTCTATGCCTCCTCCAGCTAAGCACGAGTTTAGTCATCTGAATTTGTTTCCTCTGTTTGCCACACCTCCTACCATCATATTGTAGCTGAGCAGGTTTAAGTTAGAAAAACTGCCATGATACAGCTGAACCACTGCTCCTGCATAAATGCTTGAGTTGATAGATGTTTGTTAGTTTCGAATGGATTTTCTATGCAACTCCACAGGAATGCAAAACCCAATTGAAGCAAGTCAGAAGGAGAACAACTACATGTCAAATGTACCTTTCAATGAATTCTGAAGGATCTCAGAAGCATTTCAAACTAATGTCAAACCAATGCCGATAACACATGCCCAAAGCCTGTCGACACAAGCAATAATATACATGATTGTTCCTATGGGCAACAAACCAACATGTGCTTCTTGTTTCTAAATGTTTTTCTAAATAATCTGTTTAATTTTAAGGAAGGCAGATACTGGGATGCCCCTAACGTGCATTCTAGCTGCTCTAACAATAAAAAGACTGCAGCTTACAGTGTTCATTTAGTGTATTTACACTTTTTGTAGTATCCTGTTAAATCAGTGTTTTTTTAAGTTACCAACTCAGCATTGATATATGTCTATGTTTTCCAGGCTACAGATGGGTTGAGATTGCTCAATCCTTGGTCCTAAAATGCTCTTATCTAGCTGATAAGTAAATCCACATTTAACGCATTACCATTATTGTATGTAACTTAACTGTTTCTAAAAAAGGCTACTTTGAACATTCTAAATAAGAATAGTCTAAAAGAAGTAACAAATAAAGCAAATACGGTGCACAATAGTGTCTTAATTAAGGTAAGTGGTGTGCATAATCTGATTGATATGCTAAAGAAATCACAGTAAGGACCACAATATTTTTGCATAGTTAGAAATTATTAGGCCACATTCAATAAATGATGCTCTGATTTCTCTAAAATGTATATCTAGTATGTTTTCTCCACAAAAGGCCAGATGTAAATCAACTCATAATGATACACTTTAAACTGAATATATTTGGTTTTAAAATGTTTATGGCTACTGATGTTCTAATGGTATACTTACTTGAATACCATTAAAACGCCACCAAAAATATAATTGTGTTTTGAATGGAGTGCGATGGTGGCAAATATTATTTAAAATAATGGAACACATCCAGTAATAAATCAGCAGACACTGCGCTACAGATAAAAAAATCAAAATGTTTACTCTTCCTTTCAGATTTCAGCCAAAATGTTACTTATGAAATGCACATTGGGAAGTAGGCTAAACGAGTTGTGGAGGATTCAACCATTGTTTTGTACTAATGGTACTTTATCAAGACTTTAGGACATATTTATCAATCTTGCAAGTGAAAAAGCAATTTTGCTTTACTGGCCTTTGCCAGACTTCACTTCGATCCTGGTTTTTGGGGTAATTTATCAAATTGTGAAGTTTAAGACGCTGTTGTGATTTTGCAGTAAAGTCTGGCAAAATGCAGGTAAGAACATTAATTAAAGTGTATGTAAACCCTAACAGTGAACTTCTCTTATTTGATCTATTTTGGGCTGTTAAACATACTATTGAAAGTGCTGTGTTATATCTGTTTAATAAGTTCAAAATAATATATGTTGATCTTGCCAAAAATCTTGTGACCTGATCACTTTCAGTGCTCTCTGCCTGTCCTGGTTCTTTTCAAATATGTTGTTTTCTGATGACTGCAGAACCATGCCCCTCTATGTTATAGACAAAAGAAGAAGGGTGGTGTTCAGAACTCCTACCTTATGCTAATACATAAAAGGATGAGTATGTGTTGTTATCTTAGGACTGGAAGTGTATTGCTGGCAGAATCACGAGGTGATAATAAAGGAAACAAAATCAAAGAAAAAACGAAGAACTGGTAAGCTGCACTTTAATAAAGGTTTGTTTTTTTTGTTTTGATATACTTTAACTACAAGCTGCTGTTCAATTAAAACACAAATCAAAATCGTATCTGTCCCCCCCATCCAAAATGACCTGGTAAGCAGGTAGTTTGGACTTCTTTAACAGTTCAGTATAAGCCCCTTCATTAGCTATATGCTGTCATAGACATGAAAAGCTGGCTTTTTACTGAACCACCTACTTTTTTAAGGATGATTTTACTTTTAAAACAGTTATCCTTTAAACAACCCCCACCCCTTCGCAGCATTCCTCTGCATCTATCTAGTGTATCTAGTGCACCATTACCAAGCCTAATTACCAGCATGTTTCATGTATATTTCATACATATTTAACTCAGGACTGTGAATATAGTATATAGAGTGAACATATTTTCACTTTAAATTCCAATCATCTGCTAGCAAAAATCATGTTTTTTTATTTCCCCTGCGCATGACTGGGTTTTCAAGTAAAGACAGATTCACCCAAAATTCACTTCGCAAAGAGAACATACACTTTACCAAGTGAACATTTTCTACTCATTTAGTAAAATAATCCTGATGTGTATGATTATATTGCCTTGCCATTGCAGTGTTGATGTGAAGAGCATTGTGACATTATTCTGGCAATCTCTTCTCCTAGTGCCCATGTTTCTGCTGCCACCTGTTAAAATTATGTGCCACATCCACTGTCTTCCTGGGAGAACTCTCCATGCTCCAGGCAGCAAGAAGAAGTAGCTTGTGCAGTATGTTGGAAAGATGGGTGGAAGAACTTCACTGAGGTACCATCATGAAAGCAAAATTACTTTTTGTGGCCAAATTGAAATTAAGATGTTTTTCTGTCAAGGGTTTAGATTTTAGTTTATTGGTCTATGATTTAGTAATCCAATCCCCTTCAGACATAAACTGACACCTGCAAATGTAGTTACACTTGCCACACCAGCAAATGATCTTTATATTGTTCTAGTCTATTTTCACTATAGGCCAACATTCAATATTCTACAGAACAATGATGATATGCAATGTAGAGTAACCCACATCAACCAACAAGATTTTATTGTACTGACCTAGAGGTAAATCATGTCACACTGCTAGCTGTGGGTTACTGTACCCTGAACTCTATCTTATTTAATAAGCTTGGTTTTTTTTCCAAGTGTATAACACAAAGATATACCATATATTTAAAAAAAATTACAACCATAATAACGTTTGTTATTTCAACCCCATGTTTCATCAAACACTTAGCTGAGAGCAAAATGACATTACTAATTGAGACCAGGTGGTATTAAACCATTAAAATCAAGGACTGCAAAATATGTCTCAGAAAGGCAATACATGCGGTTGTCCATAAATTGGATTTTTAACAGATTTCATTTTTCTGCTGGCTTTGTCACTTGCTATCATAATATTTTGAATCACATTCTCTCTATGTGTTACCTGTACTCTCAGCAAGTTAATTATAGTTTGCATGCTCTAAATTACTCTGCCATTACATTAGGTTATGCCCTTCCTCTGTTAATTACACTCTCTATAGCCCCTAATCGATATGTTCGGACTGCATATTTACTATACACCTAAGGTAGTGGCATAATGTTATATGTAAAGGCTTCTTTTCCCAAAGGGTAACCTACTTATAGGCAATCGCTGTATTAATCCAGAATTGGAAAGAGAATGACCCTGTAATGTAATTTTATTATCATTAATGCTTAATTTCTTAGTTTCAAATCATTGCTTTGTGCTATTTTTACACTTATGTATTGCTGTATAAATAACTCAGTCATAAGCTGGGACAGTGGTGGCTTGCTGCCTAACAGTACTCTAGATACTAATGGGGGAGGGGTAGGATTTTTAAGCAGGTATAAAGCACTTCAATTTCTTTTACAAATTCTATTTGAATGGGAACATGGAACAAACATGAAATGCGTGTTACCCAAATTTGGCTGCAATAGTAGAACTACACTGTAAGTTAGTACAGCATCACTGTAAACTAAGAAAAACATATTTTTATGTATGCTGCTTGAATAGGAGCACATAAAAAATATAGAGGGAGTTTCTATAGTAAAAACTAACTTTACTCCTTTAGTAATATTGGCCTCACTACTTTAGTCTGTAGCTGTAAGAGAAATCAAATGCAGTTGATCTGTGTTTTTTACAGCACCTTGTGTTATAACTTGTGTTATACTTCATGAACCCCCAATAACTCTTTTCTCCCCCTACTTATTATAGCTTTTGTTATTTTTGTACTGTTCATATTTTTTTTGCATTTTGATTTGGTTTTTGGTAGTGTAATCACATACACAACATGTAATGCATTTCATTTGGAAATAACTTTGCCATTCATTGTACTACATTGTTCTCAATTTTTTTTGTTTTTTGCCTTTAAAAATATATAGAAAATTAGATCAATCTTTTAATCTTTCAATAGCAACAAAATAAATCATTGTTTATTCCACAAACAATACACTTCTGCATCATAAGTTATTGCTGAATTATTAGGCCTGTAGCTAAAAAGAGACAATGGGGGTGATTTACTAACCTAAACACACACACACACACCAGGTGTGTGTGATTTTCACACAGCAAAACGTAGTTATCAACCAAAAAGTCTCTAAAAGCATATTTCCACTAATGCCATATATGGAAAAATCATGCACATGATGCATATATAATGCTGCTTCACAGTTTAGACAAAAATGGTTAGCTCATGCATTTACATTCCTGCATTCATCAACGCAAGCAACATAACATAGAGCTAATTTACACCACATTACCTTGCAATTCATTGCAGGGCTTTGCACAACACACCTGCTGGGTGTGTACACACTACAAAGGTGTTTCGATTCCTCCCATAGATCATGCTGGGAGTGAACACACTACTGAGGTGTATACACGTTCGTGGTGTGTTTAAAAGGTTAGTAAATCAACCCCAATGGCTCTGGAGCCAAACCAATAAATACTGATCCAGATAATGCTATAAATATTATAGAGTTAAAACAGCTTTTCTGTTTACCATGAACAATAAGAACTGTGCCTAATGCAACAAGTAATATTTTCAAAGAAGCATAACGTGAGAGTTCAGACAGTCTTAATATATGTTTTGCTTTGCAATTTGATATAACTGTGATTCCTTTAAGCACAACAGGCATTTGCTTTTCAGAGAACTGAAAGAACCTTGCACATGCTGACATACTATTTTGGGGGCTGTTTATGTCCCCATACTCAGTAGGTTTTCAGCCGTATACACAGTATGGGACATGTTACATTCAGAGAGGTATGAATAAATATGAACAGCCTATAATCAGTTCATCTTGATAATAGGAAGAGTAGAAATGGCACCTAATGGAACACAAAGGCTTTCATGAGAACAGAGATCTTCTGGGTATCTAAAAACACAATAGTTGTTATGACCATGTTGCAAGAATACCATTATTTTCGAAAGCTGAATATGGATGTGACAAGTACTGCAATTCAAGCAATCTCAGACATCTAAGTTATCTGTAAGTCTGTGAAAATAGTAGACATGTTTATTTTACAGAACACTTACTTGTTTCTGTTCCTCTCCCAGTCCATCCCACATTGAAGCTACAATTTTGGATACCTCCCCAAAAGTAGCATTTGGATTTTGGCCCTTTATAGCTGCTTGTGTATCTCGAAAGAATAATGCATAGGCAGACACTGGCTTCTGTGGCTCATTTGGGTCCTTCTTCTTTTTCTTTTTAGGTGTTTTTGGCTTCTTTCCCATGTCAGGGGCTGGCCGCTTTTCTGCTCCACTGATCTGTGTGTATATTAATAAATAATAGTTCCATAAAACAAATATAACAAAAAGCAAACATTTCTATTTTATTGATAAACAAAACCCATTCAAGTATATCCTAAACTAAAGGTTTTTTTTTCAACTTTAATTGGGGAAGTTAGGTTTTTGCTGTTGTCCATGTTCCTGAGAATATTCATCGTCTCAGTTTATCCTGGTAACCATTGTTACTGGGTCAGAACATTATTGGAAATACACACTTTTATAGTTGTCAGCAGACCAGTAGTAGTTGGGAAATCCTCCTGTTAGAACTGTGAGATTTGCTCCCACTTTTCTCTCCCTTATCTAGAAAGTGAAGGAAAATCTCTTCAAAAGGGCACAAACAGCAAAACAAATATATAAATATATTTAGACCAAATGATGTGATGTACAAAATATATTACAAGGATCATGGCCTGGCTCAATTGTTATGCATACGCCTCCACATGGTTAGACACTTTTATTCGCATATACAATGCAAATAAAAGCATCTGATCATATGGAGATATATTAGAAGTATTGTCTGCTTGGTAATATTAAAGTGACACTAAACTCAGAAGGTATATCTTAAAAATGCATTCAAGCACCCTAACAATTAACAAAAAATCTTATTTATGTATCACTCAGCTGTAGATCCTTAAATCATCTCTGAATTCAAGCTGACACTGTCCTTCTGGAGGGTGGTTACTTTTTTCCCCCATGGTCCCTGTGTGTGTTGTAAAGTAGTCACCAGTCCAAGCTCACTCCCGTGATAGACTACAATCTCAGATTTTGTTAGATAATTTGTATTGAAAATATAGTTCATCACAGAAGTGAGCTTGGAGTGGTGGCTACTTTACAACACACAGGGACCATGGAGAACAAAAGTAGCCACCCACTAGAAGGAAGGACAGTGTCAGCACCAATTCAGAGATGTTTGGAGGATCTACCGCTGAATGACACACAAATAAGATGCATTTTTGTTAATAGTAAAGTACTTGAATGCATTTTTAGGATTTAACAACTGAGTTTAGTTTTAAGAGTTAGGCCAATGATAAAAGTTAAGTTAAGTAATTAGGTCATGCTTTAATGATAGGTTTAGGGGTTAGGTTGAAGTAAAGGATTATATGTAGGGGTAGATTTGTGATTTAAGGTCAGTATTAGGTTTTATCACATTGCCGTGTATGTGAGATTTCAAAGCACAACCCTTGTAATGTAGAGAATAAATAAGAAAGTGGCTGAACAAAAATAATAAACCCATTCTTGGACAAACCAATGTACACTGAAAATTCAGAGAAAAATATTTGATGATTTGTATTCACCCCTCAATGCCATTCAGCCATTTACTGGAAGACAGTTACTTAATACCCAAGTGTTTTCTTTCTTTCATTTGTTGCCATTTTGGGATGAGATTTGTGTCTAGGGCTTTATATTTTTGATATATCTCTGTGTTTTCATCTGTCGCTTGTTCTGTTGATTAGAATGATGTATGTACAATGTGTTTATCAGAATAATATACGTGTATGATGCTTATGCAAGATAAATTGTTACGTATTTGCAGCACAGCCTTTGTTTGTTTTCTTGTGTTATTGATGATGTTGTCCTTAGGAGATACAACATATCCTATATTTTTTTATTTTCTATTGAAAGTGGGAAAGTATGCTAATCTCCATAATAAAAAGGCAGACATTTTAGTAATATATAATAATGTTTTGGCTGGACGTACAGTGTACGTCTCCCGTCACGAAGGGGTTAATAATTGTTACTTAACACCAGCAGTAGATAACTATAAATGTGAAGAAAAAGAAAAATAGCTATTTTGCCAGTAGATATTTGCACTCATTTTTGCATTGCCCTGGAACTAACACAGAATTACCTATTTCACTACAAGCTTCCAAACTATACAATTACAGATATTAATGATTTTCTTTAATGTATTTTGAAAAGTGGACTCAATTTGTATCCGAAACAAAAAACTTTTAGTTTTGGATAGAGTGGTAGGGGATTAGACCTTTTTTCAGATTTTTATTGCTGTATGTGTTTCTGCTGGGGAAATTCACCCTCTCTATTTATTCTGGTGACTCCAAAATCCAAAGAAAAGAAACAGAGCATAAATTGTTTATATGGGACACTAGTTGCAGTGGCAACTGTCTAAAAGGGGATTTCCTACACTTTAACCAATTTCTTCTTACTTCCAATTGTGTCTACAGAACAGGAAGAGAAAGGAAACAGATGGCAAAAAAAGCAGGGGTTTGCCTTTCCCTAATTTATCCAATTCAAAAAAAGTTTAGTGTTTTGATAAAATTAAGTATCAAATCAAGACAGAAGGGGATTGTCTAATTCCAATCTTCATTTCTGTATTGCATGTTTGAAAATGATATGATGTTTTTTTAAAATGCTGTTCTCTTGTGTCTTCTACGTCATATAAATCATATTTTTGAAGACAGAAAAAAATGAGATAATACTGACGCAAGCTAGGTATTTAATACAAGAATGTAAAAGTAAAAAATAATAAAACATGAGTTAGAAAAACTAAAAGGGTTATTCACAAAAGTGTGAAGAATGTGGAGAAGGCAGGAGAAGTGAGCAATCTAGGCCAACATAGCTGAACTGGAAAGTGAGCTGAATTGGAGAATTCTTCCAAATCAGCTATGTTGTCCTAGATTGTTCACTTCTCCTGCCTTCTCCAAACTCTTCACCCTTTTTTGAATAACCCTCTCAGTTTAGCAAAATGTGTGTAAAAGTATGTAAATGATAACTAACAATATAACTACTATTCATGTCAACTGTAAAGCGGTATTGGGTTTCTAATAAGTATTTTGTGACAACGCCAGCGATAACAGAATGAATAGGTTTTCCAGAGACCTATTTTTACACATGAAAACAATTATATTAAAAAACCTTATTTACATGGAAATTGTGATACTATTGGGGAACACAAAATGGTGCTTCTAGTATGAACACACTGTCTGGAGAAAAATGTATAATGTAATTACAGCCTATCATTCATAGGAAAAATGACAACTTTTTGTTTGCTTTTTGTCTGAGGTCATGTAACACTGTTTTTTTTAGTTAAGTTGTGCTAAACTATAATAACGTGTATGCTAATCCAGAAAGCCTATTATGTAAGCACAAAGGTGAAAATATCAGATCTTTCTAATAGTTTACAGATGTCACCATGATGGCATTTCCTCAGATTACCATGTATAATAATGTAATAAAATTATCTTTACCACATTAACAGTAACTGACTTAAAGAAAAGGCACAAAATATTAATAAAAAAACATGAATCCATCATAAAGCAAATACCTGTAGGAAAAGCCTCAGATGGACGCTGACATTTTCTGTCTCCTGCTAATTTCAGGGCAGTGACATCACTCTCAGAGAAAAGGAATGTTCAGCTTTCCTGGAACTATTATGAATTAGATAATGTCATGCTCCATCCAAGGTTTTTCATACAGGTATTTTGCTTTATGAAATAATCCCTTTAATTGGACAAAAGAGGCATTCCTTACATTCAAAATTCCCAAGTAACACCCTTGACATTGGTTCTACCCTACTGCATTAATGCAGCCTGGGCAACCACAGGTTACCATTTTGCCGTCTCTCTACAGCTAAGCAAATTCACATAGAGAACAGTATCTTATTGCTATTTGAATATGCAATCTTAGAGTAATAATTGTGCCTCATTACCATCCCATAGTAAAGGATTGTATATACAGGTGTTATTTGACATGTATTTGAAGTGTACATCAAATGCATGTCAGCAGAGTCACATTTACTTCAGTTGTGCACCATGGATGACAGTTCTGAGGTCGCATTTAACCTGCTTTGCTTTGTGTTTCTTTAAATGTAACAGGTATTATTACGTGTGCTTACATTGCAGGCAAATTCTGCCTTTTGCTGCATTTTTATTTGAGTAGCGCTGGACAACAAAAGGCAAAGAAAGTATTCATACCCCCGATCAACCCCTACTGCACTCTTCAGGAATGATTGCATACAGAGAATTGTAGCACTCAAGGAAAGGAGACCAGGCAGATTGTTATATCTCCAGGGACTCTATTGTTGAGATTTCTGCCCTTAAGATTCCTGAGTCTGCATACCTGTTGTGGCCATTTTAAGTAGTTCCCACTCTGCCTGTTTATTTTTTTAAAGTTAATTTTAAATTAATGCAAATTCAAATAAAGAGCTTGAACACAAAAGATGGAAAGGAACACAGAACACTCCCAGCTGAATAGAAAGCAAGTCAGAAATTGTGGCAGAGAGATCATGTTGTTTCAAGACCAGCAAGTAAGCAGGAGCTGCCCCACCTACAGTATATCTAAGGCACATGTGTCAAACTCAAGGCCAAGGGGCCAAATCTGGCCCACCAGGCCATTTCCTAGGGGTCTATTCACTAAGCTGCCTACATACTGTTCAGCCACTAAACAATATTTGTGACTATTTTCTCTCAGATAAAACATTGTAATTTTTATTGCCTGTCTTTTTCTATTTGCTGCTTTTTTTCAAGTGCTTGCATACTGCCCTCATCCAAGCAATTTCTACCAAACACAAGCCATACTCTATATTTTAAATATTTTGTGAATAATTGGCATACAGGGATGTTAGGGATTTTGAGGAATGTGGGATTGTGGTTTTAAGGTGTTTTTGTGAACTCTGTTTTGTTTTGACATTATATCAATTTGTTAAGACAATGCAGTGTGGTACTGTAAAAAGAAAACTCACATGCTATACTATTAATCTGTTCTGCCAAATTGTACTAAATTGAGGGATTTAGCTTTACTTTTTTAAACTTTCAAGCTCTACTGTTCTGTAACACCCCATACAGCTTAGAGGCATCTCTCAAGCATGTAATGTAAAGAACTGTGTTTTTTTCTTGTCACCATCAAAGTTGCATTGAAAAGGCACTCTCTTAGTATTGTTTTGCAAAAAAAAGGCAAAAATGTAGTATCCAGATTCTCTCACAATGGACAAACCCTTTGCAAATCAAACCCAGGCAGATTTACTTATCCCTGTCTATTATGCATCTAAGCAGAAAGACAGTGCTACCTTCCATAAAAGGACTGCAAAACCTGTTTTTAGACCTATGTTTTCCCAGTGCACAAACATATTAGACACAGTCATTAGTATAAGTATATTTAATTACCAAATAAAATCCAAATAGAAAAGAATCTCTTAACTTAAATCTCCTGACCTTAAAGACAAGTGTAAGCAGCATTAAAATGGAACATTTCTTCCAATTGAAATTCAGAGTGTTTTATCTGAGGACACAGCATTGCCTCAGGATGTGTGCAAGCTTCAACTTAGTTTTGCATTTACATAGCTCTGAATTTTCTTTGGCACAAAAATCTTGGTAAATACATGCCTAACATTGCATTGTTGTGGGAGACATATGTTTGCTCAAGCATATGCATTTAGTTTTTTGCTGTGAGGGCCTCAAATCTTGTTACTTTGTACCCTGCAGTCTTTCAATTACTTTCTCAGGTTCTTGCAGTCATATTTTTCTCTCCTATGTTTAATCATAAGCACACGCTTCTGTCCTTTACTGAGTTAGCATTCCTGTGTGACATATGGCAGAGACATAAGTTATTTACCATAGTAGCATGGTAAGAATGCTATAATTGCAGTGAAAATTAGTGCAATTGTGCATAAAATACTGGAGGGAGGGAAAGCTCATGGAAAATGTCACACTGTTTGCATAGCAGAGAATTAATTAAAAATCTGATATTTTATCACATCATTATAGAAAAACAACAATGATATGAAAAATGTTATGTGCTAATGAATAATAAAAAAAAAAATGAAATAATAGTTGCTTAGCTGTTGTGAAAAATGTATAACATCTTGTTCACAAAACTACTAATAATAAATAAGCTAAATTTAGACCTATAAGCAATCCTGTTTCAATTCACGATGATAAAATCACTGCAAGTTATGTCACTGTATTATTATTTTGGTTTATATATGTATTTGTAAATGTTACACGATGATAATTTGTATCAAGGAAGCTGCTATTGTCTGCAACTAGGGCAACACCATTTTTTATACCATCCGGGAGTCTCCCCAAACTTGGTACTGGATTTAAAAGGGATCCCTTTTATGATAAACCCAGGTATTGCTTTCAAGAACTGTTTCTTATATGTTGTGTGGCCATACTGTGACTTTACACAGAATCTGTGTTTAGCACCAGGAGGCAACTGAAAGACAACTTAAATACAGTTGTCATTTTACTATTACAATTATGAAATGAAAATGTAAGGCTTGTCTTCACTTTTTGCATCCTCTAGTTTTTATAACTGAAGAGGCTGAGTGACTTGAATGGCAAACATGTGGTGGCTTGGGTTAATTTGCCTATATAATCTGTTTTAACGTGTGTTTGACTATGGAGTACAAATGTTGAACGAGTCAGAACACTAGCAACTAAGCCAAGTGTGCACTGGGGAATTTGCTAGTTGTAGATGTAAATGGTAATTACAATGCACAAAGTTCTAGAAGGAATTAATCTGTTAGTCTGTTTAATCAGTTTAAAGTACAACTGCATTTTCACTAAAACCTTTGTAGTAATAACCTTAGCAGCCTCCGAAAAAATTCCAGTTTATTACCTTAACCTGAGACTTCGTGCAACAATACCTCCTGCAGCTTCCTGGCTCTGAGTACATGCTACTGTTCCTGGGAGAGGAGTTGCTGAATTGCTCATTCAGCTCTATGCAAAGAAGGTCTCCCACCTACACACAGCACCATCCAGTGGTGGCCAGGAGCACCTAGTTTACAACAATGGATGGATGATGGATGCGAACACGTGGCCAAGTCTTGTTGCGGAAAATAGGATTTATCTTCAGTAAAGGTAACCCATAATATGGACTGATTTCATAGGTTGCTGGAAAAAGTACAAATCCATAATATTTACTGAGGGTAAGTCTGCAATTACTAAACTATGTTACATAGTATTTGAGGTTGAATAAAGACATAAGTCCATCAAGTCCAACCTATTGTGTGTGTGTATAGGTCCATGAGTGTTCTCATTCTTAAGAGTACCTGTACCCTTGTACATTTTGGTCTCTCAGGAAGTCGCCCAAAAGCTTTTCTACCAGTTTTAGGTGGTGTCCTCTAGTCTTTGTTACGGAATTAATCTCAAAGAGTTTGTTGCTAATGTTGCTATGACTATTGAACATTTTGTACATGAAAATCATGTCCCCCCTTAATCTCCTTACTTCCAACGTAAACATGTTTAAATTTAGTAGCCGTGTCTCATAGCTCTGGTCCTCCATCCCCTTTATGAGTTTGGTCACCCTTCGCTGGACTTTCTCCAGTTCAAGGACATCCTTTCTGTGGACCGGTGCCCAAAACTGCACCGCATACTCCAGGTGGGGCCGAACCATTGATGTGTAAAGTGGCAAAATTATAGACCTATCCTTGCAAAATATTCCCTTCTTGATGCAGTCTTGATGCAGTATGTAAGAAAACAATAGAATACAAATGATAACTGATACACGTATTAAAGTAACAATATCAGACACAAATTCTGCATACCTTTGTTGTATCATCCACTTCGTCTTCATGGACTGAGCTAGAGGGTGAAGGTGTGGCAGATTTACTCCCTGGTGGGGAAGGAGAATTATGTGCAACAGTGTTTCCTCCAATATTTAAACCAAGCTGAGCACTAAGTTGTGATTGATTGATAGTAGTCAGCTGACCTGGTGGCATCATAGCTGTTTGTCGAATATCTTGGGTCTGAACTCTTGGCCTCATAGCTGCCATTTGTGAGTGAGAGTACTGACTTCTGTCTGAATTCTGCAAATTCTGCATCTGTGAAAACACATAAAAACATTACTTCTAATGATACTTATAACTGATGAGTTAACCTAAAATTTTGAATACTATTGATGAACTGTAAAGACATCAGTAAGGTGAAGAGCATAATTTGGCCAAATGAATGCAACTTTGGCTAAAATAAATTAAGTCTGAAGAACATATTGAATGCTAAATAAGCATATAATAGCTATGCTTATTGTCCTAGCCTGTCCTAGTGAATCACATTTGTTTTCTTTTTTAACAAGTAACTGTCATAAGTGATTAAAACGCATTACAAAATAAAATTCCCTTATATATTGCACACAGTTTGACTTGGTAGTATATAAAGCATCAAGTAATACAAACACAAACAAATGGACAGGTTGGAGCAGGGAAACATCAGGGACAAAGAACAGCAGCTAATAGTCTTGAGGTCTAACTTAAGACTTGAGGTCTGGATAAACTGCCAGCAGGTTGTTTACTCAAGGTTACAACACAAAGGCTACATATACATATATATTTCTTCCATTTACCCAGCTCGATGTGTATAAACTGAGATCATCCATTAATTGTCCCAAAAAGGTATCAAAATGGATCATGTCATTCCAAAATATCCCTCTACGTGTGGCCACTTGCAACCTTAAAGATGACTCATTTTTTTTTGCCAATGTGTCTTGTAAAAGCTCAGCACACAAATACCCATGGTAAAAGTTTGCAAATGAGGAAGACACAGATTTGTCTATCTGAAGAGTTACCTGGTGCATGATTTAACAAACAGATAGAAAGTTGACTGTTTTCCCAAGAATGCTTTGCCGCTAAGGTCCTTGAAATAAATTACTCAAATTACTCAAAATTTCTCAGAGGAACCTAAAACACTATGAGCCAAATATTGTTACGATTATTAAATCTGAGTATCCTTTTTGTACTTTAAAAATACTGTTTTGATAAGCTGTACATTAAATTGACTTTGTCACAAAACTATAAACAAAAAGGTTCCCTGTGCAAAAGGTGACATAATACTTACCTGGGCTGCACTTTTGTTGTCTAAAGTAGCCAGGAAAATTTTCACATCTGACACACTTCTGGGTGGTTTCACTTTCTGGCCTATATCTCCCTTTTGTGTCCAGTAGATACATGTGAATATCCCACCAGTGGGTTCGTTTTGCAACAAAGTGAACATTTGCAGAATGGGTGGCAGCATATGTAAATGCAGGGAACCCATATTTGTATTCTGCAACAGAATGCTTTAAATGCTACAGAAAACACTGATAGATTATAACAGGAAAAAGTAACATACAGAAAAGGAAGGATACTATGGGTTTACTTGGTAAGGATTGTAAAGTGGGCACATTAACAAGAACAATTTTTTCTGGGAATCTTTTATTTTCTGTTTTTTTATTTGTAAAACAAATTTTCTCTATATAAATAAATATAAACTATAAAAATATTGACCCAAAACATCATAGTAAACCATTTTTCTTTACAATACTAAGGAGGTTAACAATTCAGCTGCCAGAGGCAGCTGAGTGAATAACCAAGCTGAAGTGAAAGGTGCTGAACCCCATTCGGCTATTCACTTTAGCCAAGTACAGCTGATTTCAGCCGTACGTCAGCTGGCTCCGGCTCCATCTTTTTGCCGAATGAGAAATCCCTTGACAGTGGCAGCTTTGTTCCAAGATATAAGGAGGATCTGCTCTGTGCAGATTACTAAATCCTGTTATGATCTCTATGAAATCACTTTTCTCTCTCTATTTCATTCACCATGTGGGATTACCAGCCTGTGAATTCACTGCAGCCTTCTAAAGTAAGTACTGTGTAAAAATAAATATACCAGTTTCACTTGCAGTCAAATATGTTCCTTGCAAAGCTATCATTAACTCTGCCTCTAGCAGACAATCTATATCAAAACAGTTGTACACATAAAGCTCTAACTACATCTTGACTGAATCTTTTTTGATCCAGCTGTTTTACTGAATAGCAGTTGGTGAACAGAAAGCAAGAACATGGGTAGCCCTCGGGCCCTGTTTGCTAATGTTACTCACCAGCTGCTGCTTTCTGTGGTGTTAGCAGGCAAGACCTGGATGAATGCCAGTTTCAGCAAAAGCAAGAGACAGTGAAGCATCTTTGAAGCCCTTTCATTTACCCCTGTCTGTCATCGCTTGACACTGAACATTGTTGAGTCCTGTCCCCAAGGCTACTAAAAGATCATGCCGGAGCTGAACTGTGATCAGAGTGGACCCTACTGCAGGAATAACTTGCTTTGGGGAAAATGCTTTGAAAAGTACATAGAGAATAAAACACTTTCAAAGGATGTCATTAGATATGTTTTATAATTCGGTATTTTGAATGTATGACCCAATTGTAGATCAGTAGATCTGCAAGATGTCATACAATACCATCACACATCCTGCTACTTGTTGATTATGCCTGAATTACATTAAAGGAAACACTTAATTACCAGTCTAAGAACCTAATCACTACAATAATGTAATAAATAGATCTGAAGGTAAGTTTTATAGTCCTTGGACCTCAAGAATTGACCTATGATTTTTTTCTATTGTGGATGAATAGATCAACAAGGATTAATTATGGGTTGCACTTCTTTGAATTCTTCTAATTAACCAGCAGAACATACTTTTGGATGATGAGCAGAAGACCACATTTAGGGGAACTTCAGAATGTGGCATTCCTGTATTTATGCAGAGAAGGGATTTACCATTTCTTGATAGAAAACAAAATGTAGTTTATTTTAAGTAGGCATGAATACATTAGACTGGTGCAAACCATCATTTTGGGGCACCTAGATATAGAGCTGTTCTTTAAAGTGAAACTATGTTTTTTTTTAAATTAATTTGTTAGTAGGATTTTTTTTAGGTAATATGGTTATGCTGTTTCATGTTTGTTTTTAACTTTCAAAGATCTTTTTTGTTTTCAAACCAAAAATACAGAAAATATAGGTGGCATAAACATCATAACAAATGGCATGAAGATTGGTTGCAACATACAAAAATAAATTATATAGAAATAACCTTAATACATGCTTAATAAAACAAAAAATAACTATTGGTAGGAGCAACCTACCTCTATTGTTCTAGACATGCAGAACAATTATATTGACAATGTAAAATAACAAAGTGAGAAAAAGAAAGCCTTGTAGCAACGGGTATATACCGAAGATTGCACCACAACTATATTATAGAATACAAAGAGAGAAAAAAGAAAGAGAGCAAACGAGAGAAAGGGATAGAGTAAGAGAATTCGGTAAGTGTGATCTCCCCTCCCTACACACGATCTTCAGGAGAACAAGATATGCCAACATATCTCGTCCAAGGACCCCATTCTGCTTGAAAATCTTTTTCTTTATCTTGTAGAATACTAGAGAGTTTTTCATGGGTCATGATCCAGGATTCCTTGGATTTAAAAGATCAAAATATACCATAGGAGATTTCCAGGATCTAGCTATCGAGATTTTGGCTGCTGGAAATAGAAAAGTTATCAATCTATCTTTTTTTCTAGAAAATGTTGAAATCAGTTTGTTGAACAAAGCATGAAGAGGGTCTCTAAGGATCCTTAATTCTGAAAATCAATGCAAAACGTTTGTTGATAAATGAATGTAATTTGGGGCGTAGCCACCAGGTATGTAACATATCACCTTGCTGTCCACAGCCCCTAAAACATAAAAGGTGAGGATCCAGGAAAAATATTAGCTAATCAGGTAGGTACCAAGCACCACCGGGAAAAAAAATGTAAAATTAGCTTCCACCGATGATACATTAAAAAGTCAACGGGAAATCCACGAGCACCAATGGGTCCAAGAATCCAGAGGTAGGTTAAAACCAATGTCCCTCTCCCAGGCCAACATATATGATAGTTTTGAGGGAAAATCTAGTAGTATAGAGTATATTACCGAAATACCACCTTTGCAACCATTAGCCTGAGAGCACCACCTTTCGTTAAGAGTAGAAGAAGGGGTGTCAGCATGATGGGGATCAGGGGAAAACAATGTGATGAATTTGTTGTAGATGGTAAAGTTTGGATGGGGTATAGTGAACTTCTTCTTACTGTAAGCTAGGGTCAAGGGTCTACGAGAGTGGAAATATTGACCAATTCTATACATGGCCTTATCAATCCACCATTTAAAAGCTTGAGGAAGCGGGTTTGACCAATTAACAATTAATAAATTAAAATATTTCCCAGCGTATGATGGGTTAGCTAAAGTAAGAGCATAGTACTTCCCTTTCAGGCACACTCTCTCTCATTGAAACCTCCAACCGCCCTGTCTGCCAAGGGATGAGTTTCTGCTTTGTGTGCAAATTTCAACTGAAATAAGTGGGTTACGTAATAATATAATTTGTGCTTTGTATAGTTTCGCACAGTATACATAATAACGCATTATCCCTAAATGACTTGATATTGATAGTCTGTTTCATCAAACAACACATCTTCTACCTATCTATTTAGCTATCTACAATCTCCTTCTCCCTCTCTCTCCACACACACATTTTAGAATTAACCACAACCCTTAACACTTAGTATACAATGTATTCCAAGAATGCCAATTTCTAAAATATCATTATTATTATTATACTGAGCTGTTCTTTGAAAATATGAGGACTTTGATCTCTCGTCATAAAATGTATTTGCTACAGGGGTTTATATTATAAACTCTGAAGTTAGCATACATCCTTTTTATACTTAAATATAAATATAGAGCATACAATGTCATTTCTCCTTACAGTGTCTTTTATGCTTTCATGTTTTATATGAAAGGCCAAAGGTCTAAAAACTAATCAGAAAAGTCCTTGACTGCTATTCACCTTCATTATAATAACATTTTCTTTAAACCAACATAATCATGAACAGTTATTAAAAGGGTTAAACATATTAAACGTCAAACAATTTCCCTTGATTTAAAGTTCTAAAAAGAAACAGAATAGGCTAACTTTCTGAATTATTTAAATCTTTACTGACTGATCAGTGAACCATGAAATTAGAAAAATGTCGTTGTTAAAAGG